GACCAGGAGGTGGTGTGGTGGTTAAGGCACTGGACACTCACTCCCACATGCTGATGGTGGTTCAAGTCCCGTATCTGGTGGCTTGCTTTCTCACTTTCTCTTCCTCCCCCCACCCCCTCTGTGTGTGTGTGTGTGTCTGGTCAAATTAAAAGAAATGAATGAATAAATAAAAATACATAAATAACTCTTTAAAAAAGAAAAGAACAGAAAAGAGGCAAGAAAGAAGACTTTTCACATGATCCATAATAATTTCCGAAATACACTGGGTGAAAAAGGTACAGATGAGCGTGACGGAAACAGGCACACGGACCCACGCTCTGCAGTGTAGTGGAGCCCCTGGGGGCAGAACCAGGACACTGGCAACGAGCTGCGTCTAGGGAGGTGGCTGGCGTGAAGGGGAGGAGGACTTTTTGGGGTACACCTGCATGTGGAACCCTGTATGACCCATCCCCACGAGTTTGTAACCGTTTCCTGACTTAGGTCAGTACACAGGAAGGGCTAATCCGTGCAGAAGAAAGCGCTCCAGGCTGGGAGGCAGGTGGCCTGTTTCTACTCCTGCCCTGCCCACTCCTGCTCTGGGGCTCAGCTTCCTCATCTGTAGAATGAGGGGACTGAGCCGATGGTCTTCAAGGTCCCTCCCAGCTCTCGCAGCCTGGGTCTCTATGTCTCCCACCCCGACTTCCGCCCCGGCTTACAGAAGGCCGCAAGGCACGGAGAGGTCAGAACTGCTGCTCCTGCTGTCTCCGCTACCTGCGGCCCCCTCGGCACACAAGTCGACAGCCAGGAACGCCTCTCAGGGTCACCCAGGGAGCTTCTGAAGAAACACAGGCGGTACTGCGGAGACACTGTCTCCGATGGCCTCAAACAGGCTTGGTACCCACGTTCAAGAAACAGAACCGAACACCAGGTGACACACTGAGTGCTCACTACCTGCCAGGGTGGTTCTAAGCACTTCCATGGCATAACCGGCCTTGGGGGTCACAGAGTTTACTACAGAACCTGGGTGGGAACCCAGGAACCAGGAAGGCCCCACCGCCGAGCCCCAGGCCTGTCGCATGGGAGAAGCACTGTGGTGCTGGAAAATGTAGATTTCTAAGGAAGAAATAAAGGAATTCTTGAGCTTGGGTTTCATGTTTTTAAAGGCCTGCTGAATGTTTTTAACTGCTGACTAGGCTAGAATTTTTCATCTTGCTGCCACTGGCTCACTGACATTTGTTGTGACGCCGCTCTGCCCATCTCTGCTCAATGTGCAGTCATGTTCTGAACCACACGGCCCTGGCTCTTTCCCACTGGCCAAGGCTGACAAGCCAGGTGTCACCTGACCAAAGGGCAGGCGACCCAAAGCCAGCCAGCACCTCTAAGGTGGGCTGGCATGGAAAGCTGCCGGGCAGGTGGGACTCCCTGTCCAGGTGAGCTGAGAATGTGGGGGGCAGACTGGCAGGTGGCTGAGGCTCAGGCGTGCTGGAGGGCAGAGTCCAGGCCGGGTGAGTTGACGCAGCCAGAGCATGAGGAGGAGGAAGTCAGTGCTGGGGAACCAGAGCTCTGAGACAGAGAAACGCTCCTCAGTGCCGAGAGGGGACAGGCTGCTTGCTCAAGGGCAGAGTGGCTGACGTCCAGAGACAGGGAGGGAAGCAGTCCCATGGCTGCCTGTGTTCGGACAGCTTTTGCCTCCCGGGTCCTGGAGTTCTTGGTGTGGATTCCTGGGCACCCTGGAGTCCCTCACACCCCGTGTACTCCACCAGCAAAGCTGCTCCCATCTAAGAGCCAAACCAGTCTGAGGACCCTCTCTGTCTCAAGTGACTGGGTGTGTTCTCTGCCATCTGCCTCCTCCTGACTACTCTCCATGCTGCACGTCCGTTCTGAGGCGGTGTGAGGGCAAGCAGCCCCGCCTACCTTGGGACAGGTCCTTGTGCAGTTCATGATGGTGTGGCAGCGGTACAGAGAGAACGGGTCCTGCAGCTTGGCCAGGCGCTCCTCTGTGAAGTCGTCTCTGGAGTCAATCATCCAGCGGTAGGCCTGGGAAACCAGGGGCTGGTTAGCCGGGCTGTGAACACAGTGGGCCAGAGCAGCACCAGGGCTCAGCCCTAGCTCGGGCAGCGCAGGAGAAAGGGAGTTTGCCCAGCTTAGCTGTCTCGGCTTGGCACTCTGTAATTCCTGCCTGTCTTTCAAGGACAGGTTCCCAACTCCTTTGTAACTGAGCATGATGAATGGCCCCTGCGGACCTTTGATCCACACTGCATTTGGTTTCGGGTGCTTAATTACACACCACTGCATCGCTTCCTACCTACTTCATGTTGCTCAGCAGCTCCCTACCCAGCTCATGAATTAGTGGAGGCAGAGCCCGTGGCCTATGAGTCTGCCTTTAAGTAAGCCAATGCTTTAATAGACCTGTCTAGAGAGAATAATGATTCTTTTCATTTGTACATCCATCCCAGCTGCCTGGATTAACCACGTGACCCCTGGCCAGCTCTAGCAGCACGAGGGGATCCCTACATTTCTCAACGACTCAGACCACCTGGTGCACGTGACCAGTATGAACGCAGCTCCGTTCTCAGTCTCACACGGCTGGAAGTTGCTACTGCTCATGTGGTCACACAAGCACACAGCTTCTCTTTTTGTGGGGAAATGAGAAGCTGTCTTCTGGGTTGCCTAAAGCTTGTGAAAAGCACTGACCACAAATCTAAAAAGCACACGCTTTCTGGGAACAGACACGATGACTCTGCAGTGAACTGTGCATAAGAACTTACATACGGCGAAAGGCGATGAAAACCAAAACTTTCTTCTAAGGAAGCTCTGAACTCAGGCTTTCATTAGCGTGGAAACAATTTCCAACCTGACAGCTGGTAGGTAATCTTTAAAGTCACATGGACATTCGTCTCTCCCCAGGCTGCACATTAGAAACCCCTGTGAGAGGGAGCTGCGACGCCTTCTGACAAATGCAGCCAGCGGACAGCTAACAGCCCGCCGCACGGGGACTCCACCTGAAACATCTGCAAGGCAAGGTTTGCCAAAAAGCATGCCACGACCCCTTGGGGGGAACCCTGACCACGACAGAACAAAGGCATTTTGCAGATGAAGCCTCAGAGCTCTGGAAGTCAAGTGAGCACAGTCACCCAGTCTGCCCTGGCTGCCACTGAAAGAAAACATCCCCCCTCGGCTGGCTGGCTCGCAGCAGCCCACGGCCCTCTTGGATTTCTGGACACTCAGTTCTAATTTCTCTGAAGTAACCAAGCAACAGCTCACCTGCATAAGAACAGCAGGCCCCAAGTATTTGTCTCCGTTCCACCAATAGCTGGGGCAGCTGGTGCTACAGCAGGCACAGAGGATGCACTCGTAGAGCCCGTCCTGTGTGGAGAGGGGGTGGTCAGGGGCAGCGAGGGAAGAGCCCCGTCATGGCGACGGCTGGTTAGATGTGATGTCTGGGGTCAGTGCGGAAAGTGCCTACTTGGATGTAGTTTTCTTGGCAAAATCCAGGAGGTGATCTGCAGAGACTTAGCAGATTCATGCAAAGATCTTAACATAAACATTTGCTGAATTAGAGTCCAAGGTTCTTTTTTTTTCTTTTGGAGAGGTTTTTTGCTATAGGGTGTGTGTGCTCGCCAGAAAGACAGAGAGAGAGAGAGAGAGCGCGAGAGCGAGAAATCACCCCTCAGAGGGGATGGCCATGCTACAATCCCTTCTCCTCCATTCTCCTCTCAGGATCTTGGGCACACACACACCCGCCCACCCACACCCGACATGAGTTTAAGCCACCGGATCCGGGACTCGAACCGCGGTTGACTATATGGGAGTCCAGCAACATAGCCATTATGCTAACTGCTGGTCCCTAGAGTCCAAGGTTCTTAAGTCCAAGTACAATGCACTTACTCTTTTGTAAACATTTAACCCTCACTTACCTAAAAACAAAATGAACAAAAACATGGGGCTGGCAGGTGGCATGGTGGTTAAGGGTGCTGGACTCCTACGTGGCTGACAGTGATTCAAGTCCTGGATCTGGAGGCTTACTTTCTCACTTTCTCTCTCTCTCTCTTTCTGGAGATATGAAATAATAATAATAAAGAAAAAAAGTTAAATAAAATAATTCTTAAAAAACATTTAAAAAAAGCTTAACCACCTATAGGGTCATCTGCAAAGTCATGTCTTTTTCCGGGTTTCTATGCAAAAATGGACCATGACTTTCTGACAACCCAACAGAATGCAGCCAGAAGGGAAGCAATTAAAAAGGACCTGGGGTGGGTGGACTAGCAGTTAGTGTAATGGCTATGTCGCTGGACTCCCATGTAGTCGACTGCGGTTCAAGTCCCGGACCTGGTGGCTTAAACTCATGCCGAGTGCGTGTGCGTGCGTGCTCAAGATCCCGAGGAGAATGGAGAAAGGACTGCGGCATGGCCGTCCCCCCTGGGGGGTGATTTCTCCCCTTTTCTGTCTCTGTCTGTCTGGTGAGCGTACGTACCCTATAGTAAAAACCTCTCAAAAAAAAAAAAAAAAAAAAAAAAAAGAAAAAGGGTCACAGCAGAAATGCCACTCTCTGTGATGCTGAACCCCCACGGAAGGACCCAGGCCGGCACTCTGACAGCTCTCTGTACATACCTGGTGTACACGTGCTATGTCTGGGCTGGCTGAGGCCAGGACTAAAGCACGGCACGGAAACTGTTGGGAGTGCCCTCAGAAATAAACTTGAAAATAAGTAAGTGGGGCCAGCTGGTGGCGTCGTGGGTAAGGCAGCTAGGTCCCACAGGGTTGACTGTGTGGTTTGAGTCCTTGACCTGGCAGCTTGAGAAACGTGCCAGATGTGTTTGTGTGAATGCCCAAAAACCCAAGAGGAGAATGGAGGAAGATGGGGCTGCAGTGGGGCCATCCCCCCGGGGGGTGCTTTTGTCCTCTCTCTCTCTCATGAGTTCATGTGCTCTCTAGCAAATTAAAAAACAAAACCAGAGGGCTGACGCCTCACGTAGCAGACAACAGCGTCCACTCTGGTTCAACAGAAGAGACCCGAGGTCTGCAGTGGGAACATCAACACCCTAATAATCAACAGACCTGCCTGGGCACCACGGGCTCCGACCCTGCCTGGTTGGATCACCACGGTACCGTGACGTGAGTACCAGCAGATCCCACTCACAGCAAGGGGGGGCCTCTGAGAGCTTAGAGCACACGCTGCAAGCAACAGAGCTGGGTGTGGCCCGGGCAGTCTGGCATCCCCGCTCTTCGACACCTGCCGCACTGACCAATGTGCCCAGTGGTTCTAACAAGCCAGACCTTCTGATTGCAGAAACAAAGACTGATTAAAGGGAGGGCGACGGGAGGGGCACACTGACACAGTGAAGCTGACAGCAGATGAGACAGAGCTGATGGCTGTAACTGGGCCGTGGGTCTTTATCCAAACCTGTTAGGTTAGTTGGCGGCCCCCTGGTTAGAGCACAAGGTCAGAGGATTGAGAGCCTTAATTACAGTCAGGTTCTTTAACCCATTCACGTAGAAAAAATCTGTCAAAAAAAATTAACTGGAATCTTTTGGGTAGAATTTGAAGAATGAAGATGTTCATCTAGCCTTATTTACGACAGTAAAAAAACTCCAGTCTCATGGTTTAACAACAGTGGAATGGTGTAACAGTGCATGGCGGTGGAAGGTAAAATGTAAGTCAATGCTTACAAAGAATTTAAAAAAAGTATTTAATCTTATTTATTATTATTACTTTAAAATTTGCTATAGGGCACATGCACTCACCAGAGACAGACAGAGAAAGACAGAAAGTGAGAAAGCAAGTGACCAGGTCTGAGACTCAAACCGCAATCGACCATGTGGGAGTCTAGCCTCTTAACCGCCATGCCACCTGCTGGCCCCAAGAATTTTTAGACATGAGGAAAATGCTCACAATGACATAACTGAACAAAGCAGGGAACCACCACATGTTTCTATTTTGATCTCAGACATAGAAAAGCCTAATGGGTAAAAGAAAAACAAAGGTAATCCTAAGTACTGGTAGGGTTTATCTTTGGATGGCAGAATTATACATGATTTAAAAATCAGTTCTTTGTATTTTTCGGTTATTTATAAAGTTAAGTGTATTAATTTAAGGAAGTAAAGAATGCTAAACAGATGTTTGCTATTCAAGTAAAACCCCCATGATCTAGAAAGCCTGCTCAGGAGCCCCTTACTCCCTAGCAACGCTCCCTCGGGCAGCGCGCACTAGCTGCGAGCCCGCAACGCGCCCTCGGGCGGCCCGCACTAGCTGCGAGCCCGTCTGGAAGGTGAGAAGATGGGCTGGGCCACAGTAGCTGGTTCTAGCCTGGACTCGGGATACGGCAGACTTTCTGGGAGTCAGAAACAGAGTGAGAGATGGCCCAGCCTGTGGCCTCATGGTTAAGGTGGCTGATTCTCACGTGGTCAACTGCACAGTTCAAGTCGTGGGCCTGGTAGCTTGAAAAACACACCAGGTGTGCATGCATGCACACCCACAACCTCCAAAGGAGGGAGAAGTGGAGGAAAAGGGATTATGGCGCAACCATGCCCTGTAGTGGGTGCTTTCTCACTGCTGCCCCGCCTGTGTCTCTCTGGTGAGTGCAAGTGCATATG